TAGAAATATCTTAAATTTTGAGAACCCAAAATAATTTGAAAATATTTGAAAAATAATCAAGTATATGTAGAGAATGTTATATCATTGCTTTGGAAAAACTAAACCAAACCAAAAAAATAAAGATGATGTTAGTAATTTAAACCAGCCAAGGAATATTTAACTGATAGAATAGAGAATTATTATGTAATAAGACTTGTGTATATTGAAATAAGCAAGAGGAATAGTCTTAAACTGATTGAGTCAATGAAATAACACATCATGGTGGCCTGGACTAAGTGTGGTAACAGAAGTGCTTGAGATATGCTCAAGATTATGGGTATATTTTAAAGTTGGGGCTGAAGAGGATTTGCTGACGGGAGTAACTATTGGCAGTGAGAGGAAATGATGAATCACACATAAAGTAATCTGGGCCTGAAATTTTTTGCTTCTTATTTATTGGGAAGAAAAGAGTTGAAAAAAAGTGGAGAATTCTTGAGGTAGCAGGAAGATCAAATAGAATAGTTGGCAGGGCATACCAGATAGAGTTTTAAAGATGGGGGGCTACTAGTTTTAATATTTTTAGTTATAGACGGACACAATAAATTTATTTATTTTTATGTGTTGCTCAATACCAAAGAAAGGAGCAGGAGCTTTGGACCTAGGTTCATTAGATTTGAATCCTGGCTTCTTGTCTGTGTGTCCTTAGACAGAGCCTGTCACGTAGTTACTGCTTATTAATGTTATTATTTGAATGGTTATTTTTAAGATAGTAAATAGAAAGCCAGGTGTGGTGGCTCACCCTTGTAGTCCCAACTATTTCAGAGGATCAGTTAAGTGCACAAATTCAAGACCAGCCTGGGCAATGTAGCAAGATACTATCTTTTTTTTTGGTTTTATTTTTTAAATACATGACAGAGGAATGCATCACAATTCTTATTACACATATTGAACAATTTTTTATGCCTCTGTTTGTATATAAAGTATGTTTACACCAACTCATGTCTTCATACATGAACTTTGGATAATGACATCTATCACATTCCACCATCCTTGCTAATCCCTGCCCCCTCCTTTTCCCTCCCACCCCTCTTCCCTATCTAGAATTCATCTATTCCTCCCATGCTCCCCCTCCCTACCCCAGGATGAGTCAGCCTCCTTATATCAGAGAAAACATTTGGCAATTTTGGGGCGGGTGGGGGATTGGCTAACTTCACTTAGCATTATCTTCTCCAGTGTCATTCGTTTACCTGAAAATGCCATGAAGAAACTACCTTAACAAAAATAGATAGCTA